CATAATGCCTTGTCATTTGGTGGTGAATACCTAGTGATTAGTACAAAGGATGGGTGCATAATGCCTTGTCATTTGGTGGTGAATACCTGGTGATTGGTGCAAGGGATGGGTGCATAATGCCTTGTCATTTGGTGGTGAATACCTAGTTATTGGTGCAAGAGATGATTCTATAATGCCTTATTGGGTGGTGATTACCTAGTGATTGGTCCAAGGGATGGGTGCATAATGCCTTGTCATTTGGTGGTGAATACCCGGTGATTGGTGCAAGGGATGGGTTAATTATGCCTTGGCATTTGGTGGTGAATGCCTGGTGATTGGTCAAAGGGATGGGTCCATAATGCCTTGTCATTTGGTGGTGAATACCTAGTGATTGGTACAAGGGATGGGTCCATAATGCCTTGTCATTTGGTGGTGAATACCTGGTGATTGGTACAAGGGATGGGTGCATAATGCCTTGTCATTTGGTGGTGAATACCTGGTTATTGGTGCAAGAGATGATTCTATAATGCCTTATTGGGTGGTGATTACCTAGTGATTGGTCCAAGGGATGGGTGCATAATGCCTTGTCATTTGGTGGTGAATACTCGGTGATTGGTGCAAGGGATGGGTTAATTATGCCTTGGCATTTGGTGGTGAATGCCTGGTGATTGGTCAAAGGGATGGGCCCATAATGCCTTGTCATTTGGAAGTGAATACCTAGTGATTGGTACAAGGGATGTGTACATTATACCTTGTCATTTGGTGGTGAATACCTAGTGATTGGTACAAGGGATGGGTGCATAATGCCTTGTCATTTGGTGGTGAATACCTAGTGATTTGGTCCAAGGGCTGGGTCCAAAATGCCTTGTCATTTGGTGGTAAATACCTGGTGGTTGGTTCAAGGGATGGGTCCAGAATACTTTGTCTGAATGCCTGGTAATTGGTACAAGGGATGAGTTCATAATGCCTTGTCATTGGTGGTGAATACCTGGTGGTTGATTCAAGGGATGTGTACATTATGCCTTGTCATGTGGTGGTGAATACCTGGTGGTTGGTTCAAGGGATGGGTCCATAATGCCTTGTCATTTGGTGGTGAATACCCGGTGATTGGTGCAAGGGATGGGTTAATTATGCCTTGGCATTTGGTGGTGAATGCCTGGTGATTGGTCAAAGGGATGGGCCCATAATGCCTTGTCATTTGGTGGTGAATACCTAGTGATTGGTACAAGGGATGGGTCCATAATGCCTTGTCATTTGGTGGTGAATACCTGGTGGTTGGTTCAAGGGATGGGTCCATAATACTTTGTCTGAATGCCTGGTAATTGGTACAAGGGATTGGTCCATAATGCCTTGTCATTGGTGGTGAATACCTGGTGGTTGATTCAAGGGATGTGTACATTATGCCTTGTCATTTGGTGGTGAATACCTGGTGGTTGGTTCAAGGG